TTTCTAAACTAATGGATAAGTAAAGAGCCTTCGTTCTTTGGAGGACTTATTTGAAAACAAGATGAACTTTTCGGTTACTTTGATAAGTTGGGTTGGAAATAAAATAAACTATTAATAAATAGTTTCATATAGAGATGTAAAGTGTGATGAGAGCCCGTTTGGTGCACATTAAAATGAGAGAATGTATTTTTTTGAAATGATGTGATGGAGAATGTGTGGTTGAAAAAGAAGGAAAAATTATTGATGTGATGGAAAATCTTATTTTATTAAAGAATGTGTGGTTGAAAATGAGTAAAAGAATGAGAATAAAAATTTTAACGTGGCTCAAACAGAGACTTAAAATCCTTTCAATTATTGATGACATTTTGAGATTTGTCAAAATCTAAGCGGGAGACACCTAAGTACTAAAGGAATCTTTTGAAATATGAGTTGGCAAGATACAATTATTTGAATTTGTATTACAAGGATCCAATAAGTGAAATAATGAACTCTCTATATTTGGCAATATTTTTGTTTGGTGGGGATTAAAATTAGATTTTTAGTGAATTGTGATATAGGTTTTTAAAATGTGTGGTTGAAAAGGTGTGGGACCCATAAAAGATGTAGTTAATATTGATTGTTTGACTTTCACTTGAATCAAAATTAGATATATTTTAATCCGGCCCAAACAAGCACGTGAATGGAAAAAAAAAATGAAGTTCAAGACTGTCCTTATCATTTACTACTAATTATCGTGAGATACCCCAGCCCTGCCCTATATATATTACCAGTTGCCAGTCTCATGGTCCCTGTCTACCACTCATTTTCAATAAGCCACTTTGACCAAAAATTTCCTTCAACAATGGAAAATAAGCTAAAATTCTGGTTTTTCATTATGGGACTATCACAATTAGTCTCTGCTGAACCAAAATTTCCTTGCTACTTCATTTTTGGTGACTCACTAATGGATAATGGAAATAATAATAATTTGAATACCAGTGCAAAAGTCAATTATTTGCCTTATGGAATTGATTTTCCACAAGGGCCAACTGGGAGATTCACCAATGGCAAGAATATAGCAGATTTGATTGGTTAGTCTTGCCATTTTCCTTTACTTACATCATGTCACTTTCAACAAAAACGGCTTTCGTTTCAAGTAAAATTTCTTGACAGGTGAACTTTTGGGGTTTGAAAATTATATTCCACCCTATGCAACTGCAAGAAACCAGGATGTGTTCAAAGGTGTCAACTATGGATCTGGTGCTGCTGGAATTCTTGATGAAACTGGACATCAAATGGTACTCTCTCTCTCTCTCTCTCTCTCTCTCTCTAATTATACTATAACTTATCCAGTTATCCTCTCTTAGTGCGACCTTTGTTGTCATATTGAGTATTCGCACACATATTACATCTCCCCATCATGAAGAATTTTAGGAGGCTAATTTTTTGTGTATAACGTGAAATGACCCTGTTATCATTTTCTTAACTATAGTGAAAAATTACATCGACAAATTAGGAACCGAAGCTAAGAAGCAGAACACATTGCTATTACATTGGCTTCTAGAGCACAACTTGCTCCGAGAAGTAACATCCAAGATTGATAAATTTCTTGGCTAATGGCTATAGCCTTAAATTGAGCATACTTATAAAAGAGATTACTTTTTGTTTCTTTGAAGGGTGCTGTGATCAGCTTGAACAAGCAATTAGTAAATCACAGAGTCATCATGTCAAGGATAGCTGCCTTACTTGGAGGTGAAAAGTTTGCAAAAGAGTATCTAAGCAAGTGCATATATACAGTTGCAATGGGCAGTAACGATTACCTAAACAATTACTACTTGCCACAATTCTACTCTTCAAGCGGCCAATATACGCCAGAGGAGTTTGCTGTGATTCTTATGAGAGAGTACTCTAGACAGCTAAGAGTGAGTATTCCTTTCTCTTAAAACATTTTACTCTAAACAGCTAAGAGTGAGTATTTCTTCCTCTTAAGAGGAAGACAAATTTTGTCTCTTATTTCTGATAACTAAGACAAATTTCCTAAGCGTGTTACTGCTTGACGGAAAATCGAATTTCGACATGTGAGAACCGCCGTGCACCAAAGATGAAACGTGTGGATACTAAAGTCTATAAAGAACTTATTGGGAATTTCGCACGAGCTTTATTTTTCGAAGTTTAAAGACTCTGCCTGCTCCTTTATCCTATACAATCATGTTCAGTTTAATATACCACACGTTCTGCTTCCCTTTTACACCTACTTAAATGCAGGAGTTGTATAAATATGGAGCAAGAAAAGTAGCTGTATATGCTCTTGGCCAATTAGGCTGTTGTCCAGCAGAGGTAGCTTTGCATGGCTCGAATGACTCGTTGTGCGTGGAACCAATCAATAACGCAGCCAAAATCTTCAACAGCGAACTGAAGCAACTTCTTGATCATCTCAACCGTCGTTTCGCAGATGCAAATTTCATATACACAAACACTGCTACTGATTCATATGGTAGGCCTCTCCTTCCCTACTTTTACGCGTTTAATTTTCTGAATGTCATGACGACATTAATTTATTTAAATTTAGTCCTCAACAAAAACCGTTCAATTGGATTAATCGTCACTACATTATTATTACAGGAAACATCACAGTTTTGAGCACTCCATGTTGTGCTTTATCAGATACTGGACACTGTCTTCCCGAAGGTGTTACATGCAATAACAGAGACAACTACATGTTTTGGGATGGATTCCATCCTACGGAGGCTGCTAATTTGCTTTCTGCAGAAAAGGCGTACACTGAAATGTCTCCACTGTTCACTAATCTTATTGGTGTCGAATAACAAACTTGGAAATTTATGTCCGTTCATGTTATATATGCTCGACGTAAGAAATAACGTTCCAAAATAGAGTGAATCTCACAAGATATAAAGAATAGAATGGATCCTTAAAGATATGATATATCTTCCCAAACTAACTTCATAAGATCAAAAAGATTCTAATCTAAAAAGGCGACATCAATTCATATCTCGATTAAATTAAACAATGACAAATAGATCGATAAGTTAACGATGATTCTTACATATCGGATAACCAAGTAGAGTTTCAAATTGAAAGTAGAAAAAATGTATTAAATTAACTTCAAAGAAATATCAAACCCAGTTGCTTATAGCTTAAATCGGAAAAATGGAAATCGGATTAAAGAGATTTGGACCCGCCCAAACAATTAGAATTTTTTTTCCTATTTTAGCTAACGGTTACTTTTTCTTCTATATTCCTCCTTTCTTTTTAGTAAATTTTCAGAAATGACACTCAATCTATTGTTTAAGTAACGCCTGGTCCGTCCTTAATCTTGAAGAAAAAACAGATTGGTCTTTAAATTTTTCATTATATCTCTTATTTGAGAACATATTATAATCGATTCAAATTATAAATAGGTGGAAATAAGTGGGTGAATATATGAATAATACTTATGAATCTCATGAAATTTATGAATAAAATTAAGTTTGGCTAATTATATTTATAAATTAAACAGGTACCGATTCGTTTATAAATTCACAAACAATCGTCAAGAAGAGTAATCATCCAAATTTGTATTAAATTGTTATGTGATTCTGTTTAGGACATTAGTCCAAGTTCAAGAATAAAATTTAGTTTCACCAAATTAGATATGTGAAGGTCATGTGATCATTTAATGCAAATGTAAATAATTTTCGTAACAGGGCAATTGTAACTAAGTGTTGAAGGTCAACTTGCATCGTTTTAAAGAATGAGTATCAACTTGCTAGTACTCCACTAGATTGGGAGCTAATACTGCAATTTTTCTTCTTTTTGTCTTTATGTTGGACAGCTAGTTTCCGAACCAAAAATAACTCGACCGTTGTACCTGGGCTTTTGGGCTTTATTGATTCTAATAAAATAATAATTATTATTTTTTAAATCATTTTCGGAATTATNACCCCCTGTAATGTACATCATTGGTTTGGCTTGTGACACTTAAATTGCTCCTAATTGATTATATCTTCTCATTGTTGACTCTCATATTATGAAAGTATTTGAATATAATACAAAAACACATAAATGCAGTAGAAATTCTCAAATTCAAAAGTGAAAGATATCTAATAACTCTGTTATAAAACCAACTTTTCAATTGTCCACAGAGGTTGCAGCAGTTATCGATGGGCAATTTCGCTTTAGGACATCGTACTGTCACGAGACTTGATCTTTTGATAAGTTTTTCTGCACTTTACTATTATTTTGTACAACAGTTTTCTCCCGGCGATTCCGTGGAAACTGGAAAATCCCAATTATTTATCCGTCGCAAAGGAAAGGAGAAGAGATAATAATGATTGAAAAATGGAGGGGTTTTGAATGGATTATTTGTTGCTCTAACCTTTTGTTTTGACTAAAAATAATGAGCAGCAATGAACCTAATTTCAAAAACCTTTATGTTCCCCCGACCCCAGATTTTCCTCTTGAAAATTTTGTGCAATTTTCTCAGATTCGTGTTCTCTTAAGAAAATGGTGTCCAAAATTGTAAAGAGAACTCCCACAAAATCCATCAACAAAAGGAGAAACCTCACTCAGCAGTGCCGCCGTGGCAGGAAGAAGTCTCCGATCAAGAATGCATCCGCCACCGCCTCTGCTGTGGTTGCTTCCATCAACAAGTCTATTTATACTTGCCAACACCGCTGATAAGTGCATTTTTTGCACTTATTTGAGTCATATTACTTGGATTTCATGTCGCCAAAATATTATTTTTTTTTACTTAACTTGGGGGTTAATTTTCATTTGTTTTAGTTATGGACGTGTTCGAAGCAATTGAAAAGGAAAAAATACTGAAATTGGAGGAAATTTACAATTTTGGAGATTAAAGTCTACAATATATAAATTGAAGGACCAAGTTGCATTTATTGTAAAGATGGGATGAATTGAAGATGAATAATTCTACTTGTACATCAAAAAATGTACATAAGGGTATACACCCCCCTTAGATGGGAGTGGGACCCACTTGTGTAAAATATTTTTTATTCAAGCGGGTCTCACTCGCATGTGAGAGGGTGTACACCCCTATGTACATGGTGATGTACCACTAGCCAAACCGATTGGTCCATTATGCGGTCTCAGTTGGTTATGAAACACAACACAGATTCAAACGACTGTCCCCCGCACAGATTCAAACGACTGCTGCTCAATTGCCTCGAAATTTGATCCCCAAAGTCACGACTAGGGCAGTTCCGTTAAATTACACAAATTAGCACACACAAATAACACAAATCAGCCGCTGCCACTACCTGCCGGCGCTTAAACCCTAATTCCTACTCCCTTCATCCTAACACCAACGCTCGACGGCGGAAGCAATGCTGCTACAAACACAAAGCTCAACAAAAATGGTGAAGTTTTGAAATCGAACAAGGTAGTGGTCTTCTGGAGGGCGGTTCGCAGCCATAAAGCCACCATCGTAAAGAACTTCGATGACGACACCCACGATCGTCCTTCCAACCATTGCTTGTCGCGTGTGAAGGCATTTGTCAACCAAGAAAATCAAATGGCAGCGATAGCAGCAGCACCCCCAAAATCAGATCCAAAACCACACCCCCCAAATCAGAGCCTCTGTGTGTCGTCATCGGCGTGAGTAGCCTCTGCTGGGCACGGCATAATCGCCGTCGCTATAGCGCACCACAGATCGCTGCCGACGGTGGTGGGCAAGTTACTACCATCGCGTGATCTCGAGAAGTATTGTTCCGGCATCTTCTCCTCAGATCTATTTAATTCTGCTTCAGATCTGCGCCATAGATTCTCGTCCGGTGGTGACGCTGCTGCGCCGAGCTTCTCTTCCAGGTGGCGACGACGGGTTGCGTGTAGAGAAGAATAGAGGCAATCTGAGAGAAACAATTTGATGGCTTTGTGTGAATTGTGTATATTATAATTAATTGTATATATTATAATTAATTATAATATTTAATTAAATATAAAAATCTGTATCTATCTATAAAATATCTTATTTTTAAACATTAAAACTTAAAATCTGATTTTTGAACTTGGATCTTGAAAAGTAGGGCTCCATGTGATTTCTACTTCTAATTATGGGAGAATTGATTGCAGCTGATGTGTTAATTGTGGATTGGGCCTCAACAAAAGTCATTGGCGGCTGAGGGAGAATATATATACCCATGCAAACAGAAATGTGAGGCGGGGGTTCTGGAGGGCTAAAATAAAAATATACGTACCGAACCCGCTACAGAGAGAAAACACGCACGCAAAAGACGAAAATGACTAGGTTTCTGTGGGCTGAAATTAATATATATGTAGACAACCCGGTTACTGGAAGGAGAATAAAGAATGGACGCTGCAGAAAAGGAATTGAAGAAGGCGGCTGATTGATTTTTAACCGAAATTAATCATGTTTCGTCAATCTTTGATAATGTCGTTCCACTTTTATTTATTCAATTTCAACATCATGTTAAGTTAGATTTATTTGTGCTAGGAGAACGATGAACTATGTTTTATGATTTTTAATTCTTAATTTTTACATTCTTGACAATAAAAACATGTTTTTGGATATTTGAATGGTTTATATGATTTTAATTTCTCTATGATTATTGTGCACGTAATTATGTGAGTTTGGTGGTTTATTTCATGCATTCGAAAGAAGAAAAATAAATTCAACAAATATAAATCATCATAAGGTTTGATAGGGAATAGAAATATACCGCTATACCTTATGTAAATCTTTAAGCGTTTATAAAAATCCATACATTCTTGTATATTGACATTTGTTATAGAAATATAGTCAAATTGTATGCGAGAATGAGTTCAACTCTACTCGAGAGAGATTGTCGAATATTTTAGGAACATTGATTTGTCAATATTGCAATCGTATGTCAAGGTGTAAACTTAAAGAAATTATTACATAAGAGAGTATTCCTAACCCCTTGTTCTTTATCTTCTATGAACTTGTCCTTAACGTAATGTGCTGCTAAGTTTACATTCATTTATTTTTTAAACATTGACGACAATGTTCTGCATAAGTTTGGGGGTAGGAATATTTCATTCATCATGTTATGCGATTTTTGTTTGATTATGTGAAAAAAATATTTAAAAAAATTCAAAAAAAATCTCTTTTGTACCATTTTTTTCACTAGTTATCTTCAGTTTTTAATTGTTTATTTCCTAGCATTAATTTAAAATTTTGTGTGCTTGTGTGGGTTTGATAAATTTTTCGACCATGATGTTAAATATTGAACTATGTATAAATTGTGAATGATGAAAAATACTGCATTATTAGATTAATCAATACATGTTTGTGTGAAACTTGACATAATTCGCGCACAACTCTCATGTTTACATATTGAGTTGATGAGTTAGTTCATTACTTAGAAATAGTTGAACATAGTGAACATACAAAAAAAAAACCTCTTTTGTGTACTAAACCATGATCAATTTTTAGAATAGTTTGGAGGTGATTGAACTGTTGCAAGGGAACATTGAGATGAATAGGGATTCAGTGCATGATATTATGTGTGGATTATCTAAAACCAATGAGATGAAAACGAGACAAAAGTTTCAAGTTAGGGATTAGTTTTAGAAACTGGAAGTCTAAAAGAAACGGGGCATTGCACTTATTATTGAATAAATAAAGACATATGTTCAAGCCTGTACAACTCGAGTGATTAAGCCTACTAAGGTTTAAAACCTAGTGTCTTATGGTCATCTGACTTGGGAGTCATCGACCTAAAACTCGCTACAAGGGTTATATAGAAAGCAAATGAAAGATGTTATAAAAAAAAATTGTTGTCTATTGATGAATAATATGCATGCTTTTATGTATGAAATGCATCGA